CAGGATTAAATTATTTGGGTTCCTGAGACTTGGATCCAATTAAAGCAGAGCTCGCGCCCACAGGCGCAGGCAGCCCTGCACAGGAGCATGGGTGACTGCACAACCCCAGCTCCCTGCCCACGGGAGCAGCCAGGGAGGAGCAGCATGGGGATCAAAGGGCATTTCTCTCCCGTTACACCACCTCCAAACCCAAGGGAGAGGTTACGGCACGGCTAACGGCAGGACAGCTCCTCCGCCGGCACACACTTCTCACCACACAGCACCCAAACCCTCCAGCGCTGCACCCAAGCAGCATCTCACCCCGGGGAGGACCCAAACCAGCGCCACCACACAACTGCCACCAGGAAGAGAGACCTGCACCTCACACACCGTCACCGGGTCCAAAAGCATGGAAAACCCCGAGCAGACACCCTGGAGCTGAGCCCAGCCCTGAAACAGGCTGCAATAAAATAATACATCCCAGCACACGTGCCAACCGAGAGCGCAGGACTAAAAATACACCCCGTTACACTTGCCTGGTCGGCGAGCGATGCAGTGCAGAGCATCCCCACGCAGGGCTGGCTCACCCCGCAGCAGGGCCATGACTCCGGCGAGACTGCACCGTGGGCTTTGTTTGTTTTCCATGCGCACGCATGTAATAAATATACACACACAAACATACAGTAGGAAACAAAGCTGGCGAAGCAATCGCCAAATCCGCCCCAGCCCCTTTCATCTCACGCTGGAAAGGACATTCGCTTACGGTTTCACCTCGGAAGTGGCCACGCTGAGAAAGTTGCCGCTGCTACACGACCTGGATGGGGCTGCTTGCCTCACTGCGGCCAACGTGCGCAGACCCCGACTTTAAAAGAGCTTTTCATCAAAAAGCCATCAGCTTGCCCCAAAAATGCCTGTGTCCCACCTGCTCGCTGCTAAAAATGGGACAAGGGGATGCAGCATCCATTCCCTGAGGCTGCGGGCTTCTGGGTCCCACAACACAGGCAGAAACCTGGGTTCAGGATGGGAGATCACGCTTTGGAAAAATAATCATCACTTTTGGTAACACAAAGCAGGAGTACTGGGATGGAAAAAATAACCTTAAAAGGCAAAGACTGGACTGAGCATTAAGGACCAGCTCTCCACTTGTCCAGGCAGCAAGTCCAGAGGACTGACGGAAGCTGAGCCAGCACGGGCAGCTCGGCTGCAAAGCGGCACCCATCACGGAAACACCCGAAGCTGGGGTCTAAAACGTGCCGGAGAGCAAAGGTGTGCATCCAGCACCCACAGCCCTGCGTGCCATCCCCTCTCCTGCATCGCCAAGACCCGAGCAGGCGGACATCGCCGCTGGTGCTCCCCACCACCATGCACACCCCAGGAGGGACCCCGCAGGCTCCCAGGTGACTCTGCAACCCCAAGGAAAGCAGGTTTTTTCTTGGAGAGAAGCTGCTCTTGAGCAGTGGGACAAACTGCAAACGGCCCCAGGAGCTTTACAGCCTTGATGTTGGCAACGGAGGCTGAAAGAGCAAAGCAACGTGATTAAAAACGCCATATAACTGACCCCCAAAAGGGGAAATGGCATTGAATGGGTCTTCACCTGCAATCTCTCCAGGTCGCTCCTCTCAGCAACAGGAAACAGTCCGAAAAGGAACAGGCTCCATCTGCAAACACCCAAGCTGCTAGGCTGCCAGTAATTAGCAAAGAGGAGAGCAGGGAGATTATCCGGGGGAGAGAAAAGCCCGCAGGCCACAGGAGAGCCAGCCTCAACCATACAGCTGGTGTATTTTTAGGTTCCTCTGCCTGGGAAAAGCCGCGCAACAATGAGGGAAGGCTGGTGGTGGTACTGAGTTAGAGCTGCACCACATATGCGATGGTCTGCATCAGGGCTAAACTTTAACTCCTTCCTTCGCCACACCGCCACGAACAACTGTTTGGCTAGGATCTGTCCCTAGCAAGCGAGTTAAATCATTACAAATCTTATCCCTGGCTCGAACTACACACTGATGAAATCAACGGCAAGCTCTGAAGCCGCCCCGCTCCAATCTCCATTACTACCACCCGCATCGGGAGTATCTTCA